TCCCTCCACTTTGATCCACACAGTTTAAAAGTTTAAATGCCTGAGCTTTGAAAGATACAGTGTTGGAAAAGAACAATAATGGCGACAATTGAGGGTAAAATGATGGCTGTAACACTGTGGACACAGCAGCAGTTGAAAGAGAAGTGCTTAAGATGAATCTTGGTACAGTGGCAGGCAGAGCTCGTTAAGCAGGCAGGTGTGAGCCTGGTTGCTATAGTGACCGCACCCAATGGCTCCATACACACGTACACAGACATGCGCCTCACTTTTGCTGCTTAAAATGAACAGAAAGTCAGGGCCGAAACAAATCGTTCCCAAATGAAAAGTAAAAGTCGTATTGACAAAATTCTTTCACCGTGAGCGACAGCAGCTTCTAGTCTACTGAATTCTCAGTTTTCATGCCTGTGGAGTTTATTATATGGACGTGGGTGACAGTGGAAAGACACCATGCTCTTCTGATTTTCAAACGAACCTTCTGAGCCATTTTACATTAGAGTCTATGGAAGAGTTGGAGGGGAGGCTGTGCATTGGTGACATTTATGAAAGACCATAACACTAGTACAATAGTAACACATTGGATGAAAGAGGACAGCCATGGCTACGTTTTGAGGGTAAATCATACCTGTAGAGCAAACCTGCAGACACAGCAGCAGTTTTAAAAAGATTTTAAGATTAATTTTTTGCTCCTCTCACTCTAGCAGTTGAGCTGCCTCACTCTAGCCCAACATTCCGTCCCATACACACCCATTATAACTCTGAAACGGGTGAAAACATCATGAAACTTAAACTGGAACTGAAGAAAAGTATAATAGATATTGAAAGATAAATACAAGTTGAATAGTTGAATGTCTTGTCTTCGTTTTAAAGTTTGAATGGTGGCTCTATGTCAATGTATGTGGAAGTAGTAAGAGTTTAAAAATGAGTAAATTGAATGAGATTTGAAGGGTCTCCCATTGAAATACATGGGAAATTTTTGTTGAAAAAGTTGAATAAATTAAAATATAAATGTTAAAAATGAGAAAAATAGAAGCAATGTTGTCCAAAGAATAGGAATCTAACGGTGTTTGAATGGTTTTTCTAAGTTGAACGGTTTTGAGGAGTAGGCTTTCAAAAAACGTACGGAATAGATAATAATAAAATAGAATAATAATAAAGATTCGAATAACAATACTGTGAATGCTTTTCAAGCATTCACACTAAATATAATAATAAAGATTAGAAGAACAATACTGTGAATGCTTTTCAAGCATTCACACTAATAAAGATTAGAAGAACAATACTGTGATGCTTTTTAAGCATTCACACTATATAAGATTAGAAGAACATACTGTGATGCTTTTCAGCATTCACACTAATATAAGATTAGAAGACAATACTGTAATGCTTTTCAGCATTCACATAATTAAGGACAACAGATTGAACAGGAAGTCCCAAAACATTAGCCTGTGTCACCAACAAGGCTTTTTGGGGCCAAAGCTATTGACCTATTGACACTCTGCATACACACTATTTATGAATCACAATGGGTTGTGAATAGCGTTTACACTTTCTCCTACACTGTAGTTCCTATAGTTCTGCTAAGTAAAAACATAAAAATCGCATTCATTTTCTCACAGCCAAAACAACCTAGCACAGGTGGCCCTGCACTTTTGTATGAAAAACATGTTGCAAATGCAGTTTCCTAGAAACATAAACACATTGTGTGTGAAGCACCAATGGGAAGTAGGATCTTAATTTGCCTTTTGTAAGTCAAGAGGAAGAAAGGCATTCTGTACAACTGTGCGTGTAAAACACATCAGTACTGACACACACATGGTAATTGCTCAATAGGACAGTATCAAAATACAATTCTTTAGAAGAATTTATGGGAAGTGTAGTTTATAATGTAGAAATACTAGTTCTGGAGACTGCTAATTATACACTTTCACAGTTATGTAAAAATGTCGAGTTATTTCCCAAATACAGTAAAACATACAACACTGGACACTTTATAAGATGCATCTTACTAGCACTGAGTGGGAGACTATTTTGCCTCCAGGACTGCCTTCATGGCACAGATTCAACAAGCTGCTGGAAACATTCTTCAAATATTTGTCGGCTGCAAATCTATGATGTGAATCTCCTGTTCCACCACATCCCAAAGGTGCTTTTATCGGATTAAAATCTCTTGACCGTAGAGGCAATTTGGATACAGTGAACTCACTGACATGCTCAAGAAACCAGTTCGATATGATCTGAGCTTTGAGTCAATGGACATTGTCCTGCTGGGAGCAGCCATCATTAGATTGGTATACTGGTCAGCCACAGCGCTCAGGTAGGATGTGGTGTGTATCACCAGCAGCCTTAACTCTTGATACAAGGCAGCATGGATCCATCACATCGGGAGTTTCTGAAATACTCAGACCAGCCCCAACAACAACCAACAACCAGGCAGAGCATCTCCAAAGTCACTAAAATCATCTTTGTTCCATATTCTGATGCTCAGGTTGAACTTCAGCAGGTCATCTCAGTTCATTTTATCATATTGTTGTGAGGCTACAGACATTTTCTGTGATTTTCTATAGATTTTAAATCATGTCTGAAATGACCATTTTACGGTCACTTTTTTCCTGTTTTTTTATCTTTATTATCTCCAAAAACCTAATAATGAAACAAAACAAACTGAATAACCATTATTCAGTGTTCTGGATCTGTGGTATAGCTGAATGCTGGCCCTAGACCTTATTTTTGTAAATACATAGTGGATAATGGTGGAAATCATAATAGGATTTCTTGTGCTTTACAGACAAACATAGGATGTGACTATGTGGCGCTTACTTGATGTACTAGCATGCACACAAACATGCACAAATGTATGTACACACTCAAAATCATCCTACTGGCTGATCCTCGTGTATCCCGTAATTCCCTATAAGCTATACTCTCCCCACAGTAAAACAAACACAAGCTTCTGGGGGGGATTAGAGGGAGGAATTACGATACTGTAGTTGGCAGTGGGAGAAACTAGTTCTTTCTTACCAGTATGTGTATTTGTTGCACAAAATCTCAATTCTGTTTCTGTTTGACGTTTGCTTGATCTGGAAAAGTTTTTTCCCCCTCATCCTAAAAACTATTGGGCAGCAACCAGCTTGTAAACAATAACAAGAGTATCCAAGAAAAACATTTATCCACTGGCCAAGTGCACATACTAATATAATTTTAAAAAGTCTTGATATTTCATGATTAATTTTAATTAACGGACAACCTCTAAAATACTATCACTGATGCTTCAGATTGTGGAGTGATCAGCCATCATAGTGGTTTACATCCATCTTTTATATACAGTCTACACTAACATTTACTTTTAAGTATGAAGCGCGTATCATGAAAGTTCCCACGGTGTCCCAGGACCCAAAGGTTCGACTTTGGCCAGTTTACCAAATAGCCTAATTGTTTCCGGAGTATCAGTTTCTGTAATTTCTGATATTACTTTCATTTTTAGTTCCAGTGCTGCAATTGTTTGTCTGGTGGATTTCCTCCATTCTTGATGCTAAATTGTTGTGTCCCATTATCTGCAACCACTTGAATTCTGAGTTTGGCCTTCAAGCCACTTATTATTTACTCTTTAAATCTGACTGATTTTTGGACAAGCAAAAAATCCAAATACCACATACTGCACTTCTACAGTCACGTTCAAAGGAAGCGACGCTGAATGAATACCTATGATAATTTTAGTAGATGAGCATAAATGTTCAGGGAGTACTTTAAACCATATGTGCCAAGTAAATACAATTAACTGCCTGGATGGACTGGAGTCCAGCTCTTCTGGGAATCCCACAGGGTCGGGATCTAACCACAGCTTTTAGGTTACATCTCTTTCCCCTCATGTCCACTGCCTCTTTTTCTGCCCTCCACCTTTTGGTGACCGCCAACATTCCCCTGGCTCTAGCCCTCATCCCAGGCAGTGGTGAGAAATGGGGAAGTTTCCCAGATCGTGTGAAGCAAGTTGTCGCGCCAACTTTGCAGCACATTAATCATACAGGGCATGTGGTTAGAGATACTCTGTATCCTGTTCTGCTGAATATTTATTATTAATTGAGAGACAAATCTGAAGGATGAAACCATATTTGGTGTGCGTGAAAAATTCAAAAGCTGCTAAAAAGACAAGGATGTTAACTGAACAGCAGAATTTGTGTTTTGATGATCCTAGAAAGAGCTGGAAATCATGAAGTCTGGTAAAATGACCTCTCACTGTACATGATTTCACATTAGCTCTGTGATGATGTTTGTCTGATGAGTGTAGCTAGGACATTTAATGTTATTCTTGCAGTAACTAAAAAAAATGACCACCTGGAACAAATTTTTCATATAAAGAAAAGATTTTTTAATAGATAACTCCCATTTGCAAAAACACTTAGAAACATTGGAAGACACTGCACATACATACATATATATATATATACATATATATACACTATAATAATACATATATTATAATATATATATGTATATACATATATATATATATATATTAATATTATATATATATATACATATATATACATATATATATGATATATATAATATATATATATAATATTATATACATATATATACATAATATATATATGATATATTATATATATGATGATTATATATACATATATATACATACATATATGTATATATATTTTATATATTATGTATATATGTATATATATGTATGTATTATATATATTATGTATATATATGTATTATTATATATATATATATAATGATATTATATATTATTATATATATGTATTATATATAAATATAATATTATACATATATATATGTATATATGTATATTATATGTATATATATACATATATATATACATACATATATATATTATATATACATACATATATATATACACATATATATATATACATATATATATATACAAGCCATATTTATTTACGTTAGTAGAACAGAAACAAAAAAGCCTTCAAAACTGTAGTTTTTAAATTATTTGCGTCTTACAATAAATACAAATCCTCAAACATTTATTGAAATGAACACACACAAAGAGAGAGAGAGAGAAAAAGACAAATCCAAAACAGTGACACCATGTACAGTTGTGCGTGTCGACTCCAAAACCTTTCTGGATAGGCTGAACTTCAACTGAACTATTCCCAGTAGTGCAACTTAGCTTCACAAAACTGAGACTGACATTGATTTAATTTGGTGCTTTTTTTAAAAATTCACTAGTGCAAAAATACTGATGTGAACACAAGGTCCAATGTTTCGGGGCTGAAAGGACGACGTGAAAGGCGTCATAACCCGGAGGGGGGGTATATGAGCTGAAATGCAGAACTTGTCATGAACACTCACCTATGCTGTACAATATTACCTCCAAGAGAAGGTGCGACAGGAGTTTTATGATCTAAAATGATGACGTTTGAAAGATTTTAATTAAAATATTTTACTGTTTGACGATTAAAAAAAACAGCAGTTACATCATGATTTCAGTTAGTATCACTTTTGAATTACCAGCCTTCTTAAACTTTGATCTTGTGCACTCTGAATTTCATCTTCCCGTTATCCTTTTTCACAAAGAAGCCCAGCAGCCAGTGCAAAGCAGCACACTCACAAGGTACCAATCAATGCCTTGCTCATGGAGACTTCAGCAGGACACACGCCACAGGGCTTGTGTTGGAGGTTTGATTCCCTGCTTGCTTCTATGTAATCTGGCTGATTGTAACATACAAAAAAAATATGCTTAAAGTTTAAAGCTTTGGCTCTACTGATAGTTTGACATGTTTTACACTATGCAGTATTAATTGGTCTCTAGTTTTCTGAACAGTTCTGCAGCAAGCAAGGATCAGTTTTTAAAACTTTCCAATGTTGCATCGAAAGCTACGCTTTTAGACGATTCAGAGCACAAAACAAACGGGCATCAAAGAAGATTTTTCATGCATTAAAATATCCTCGAATGAATGAACAAGTGTTTTACGGTGCTTTAAGTATTATCTTGTGGCACCAATTTAACTTTGCTCACCCTATTTGTTTTTTTAAACTGCCCTGGCAGTAATTTAAAAGCATGAAAACATGCAAAAATCACCTGTTTTTCTCATACTCACTCGTCATCTCCCTTGAGACCAGCGTCCCCTGTGTGCAAGGTTAAAAAAACCAAAACATTTCTCGACAGCTAAATCTTTGTTTCTTCCACAAAAGTCAGGTGTCCACAACATATTAAAAAAAATAAAATAAAACTGTGTTTCAAAAGTCTTGTCGTCGCTAAATCTAAAAGTGCTTGGAACCAGCTACAAAGTTTAATCCTTACAAACAAACGAATCTATGCATAAACTGGATTCGTATTAACTTTGATTGTCACAACACTAGAACCTGAGCTTCTTCGTCAAACAGAAGAAGTATGTGACATCCTGGGAATCCCTTAAAAAATAACTCTTCTCTTATAATGCTGGTGTATGAAAACGATAAGACAAAGTACTTTAATGCACACTGATTTCTTTGCGTGTACAGAATATGTATGTGTGTGTGTTTGTGTAGAGGGTAAGTATCTGCAGATGTGTTGACGTGTCACTTTCACGGCATGTAAATATATGGACTGGACTTGTGGTGTCCTGTGCTCATCACGCATGGCATAACGTTCCTGGAGCCGACCATTATGGACTGGTTCATGTCATGGCCGCTCTCAGGCCACGGCGGCGAGTCTATGGGCTCCCGCTTGATCGAATGGATCAGGCTGTGACCTTTGAACTCGTAGGTGCCATGCTTGTTGTAGTCAGACTGCATGTAGGCCTTGTGTGGATCCTGTGAGTAGACGTGCGAGTCCATGAGGTTGACGGATTGGCTGCTGCATAGAGAGTCTGAGTGTGGGAATCTCTGAGGACTAAACTGACTGGAGTCATTGTTACTGCCCAGGTCTTTGTCGCACTTTAACAGGCGTGCGTTGGCGTTCCCGTTGTTCACTGCATAGTTCTGATAGTTACCGTTGTTGTACGGCGGGCTGATCCCAGCCTTCCCCCGCTGGCAGGGCGAATACTGTGGATCGTAATAATCAGCTTCGGATTTCAGCTGCAGGCCAACGGTGTGGTCATATAGGCCGTTACCATAGCGACGGTCAACGGGCACTTGGTCGCGGCACGTCCAGGGTCGGCCGTACGCGTCGCAGCCGTTCTCCGAATCAGAGTCGTGCTCGATCTTTATGGGGGGCATCTCGGGCATCAGGTGACCGTCGAAGCATTCTCCGTAGCCATTCTCGCTCTTCACCAGGTCCACGCAGTAGGCGTCTGGGTCTGTGGGAATCTGGACGTTGCCGTACAGCTTGGAGACAAACACCTCACCACCTCTGCCGCTGTGACAGCTGGGCGAGAGACGGTACGGCTTCCCGTACTGGCCGGTCTTGTTCATGCGGTTAGAGGGGATGTAGCTGACGCCCTGGCCTGCCCTGACGGGTCCTGAGTTCTGTCGCGGAGGCCAGCCGCCACCCACGCCTGGGCTCAGACCTTTATGGGGACCCACGGAGGACTTGCAGTAGTTTAGGGGCTCCTCCTGGTTATAGTAACCGTCCGGGCGGAACTTGAGGTTGTCTTTGGAGAGTGGGGTCCACGGAGTGTGGTGACCTCGCTGGGTTGCACCAGGAGTGGGACAGGAGAGCCGGAGAGAATCTGCAGCATCACCCATTCCTCCATTGAAGGAGTGTCTCCGGAGGTGTTCTCCACGCTCGCTGTGCAGGGGGAAAGAGTGGAAATGGAAAGAGAAGGAAAAAAATAGATCATTAGTCACAAAACAAAGACACAAAACTTACAAAGTTTTACTGTTTTTCAACAAAGTCCACGAAGAGCCATTCTCTACCCATGTATCCATATGGCAACCACTGCATACTCAATGTTTTTGTTTCTTTTCTGCCAAATGACTCAAAGCATAAAAATTCTAAGTTTGGTTCAATTTAGTTCACGAGAGGATCTTTCCAAAAGTGACTCATCTTTTCCGGGATGTGTCTCATCTGAAAATTGAGAACAGAGTCAACATCCAGAACCCCAAAGATCAATGATGGCCCGGTCTCCTAGTTTATAGGCAGCACAATGCAATATATCTTCATGTTTACACAGTGCAGTAGCTGAACCCGAATGTGTTCAGTAACTGCATGAAAGTCTTTTCAAACTGTATTTTCTTATTATTTTAAGTTTGAAATTCATCTTGTTGAACGCTGAGTAAGCGATTGATCGAAAAAGATAAAAGAGCTCAATTATATTTATAACTATTACAGCATTCTGATTAATCAGCATTCATACGTTAAATGCCTTTTCCAGTTTTTCCCGTACTTGTTTGACTTGTTTCTGTGGCTTTCTTCGTGCCCCCCCACAAAAACAATAATCAAAATATGTTTTTTCCCCTCTTCATCTTTTCAGTTTTTATATGGAAACCCAATTACAGTGCATGGCTACAGTGGTAATAACAGGGTTTAATTTGCGGTTCTGTGAGTGATTATTCAGGAATTCTAAAGGCAAATGTTTCTTTTTGTTTGTCTGCTTCCAAATACGTTTCTGCATTTTTCCTATCTTTCAAATATCTCTCAACCTGAGCACAGCACAGCTGAAGGTCTTTAATACAACCAAGCTGTGAGTGAGTATATTCTGTAGCATCATATGTGTAAAATGAGTCTTTTCTTAGCTCTTAGATTGTTCTAGCAGTAGCGACAATTTCACTATAACAGGCTCGCAAAGAAATGAACTAAGGGACATGTTTTCAGTGACATCTGCCGACTAGTGACACGAAATGACCAAAAAGAGAAGTATTGCTTTCTATTTTTTGTTATAATAGCCTGACGCAGTTTCACTGTGTTTCCTAGTTTTTAAAAAGTCTACATATACTCAGAATTTAGAGCAGAACCGGAGATCGTTGTGCAACAATAAAGTCAGCAGGCTTTCGGGAATCTGACTGTAAGTTTAATCCAAGTCATATTAAGTCTCTCAATATGGCAGCAGACCCAGGCGCTACATGTACTGTACATACTATACACTTAATTCTGAACCTTAACCCTAAGAATGGTTTAACCAATCCAATCTGCTGTCAAGTTAACTGGTTTATCGTTACATTATCCACCATGTTGCCTTGGATGATGTGTGAAGGAAGAAAGAAGCCTGAACAGCAGGAGGGGTGGAGGAGCTCTGCTTTACTGACTACATCCCAAGTCTTGGCCTCTCTGACTCCCTAAAGTTGTTAATGATGCATGAATCACAGAGGGCCTTATCCAAGCTGAGACGCGTATTTGCTCCTAATTGGCCACAGGTAAGGCGTCCAGCGCTTGTTTGGTTTGGTATCAGATCCTACTGGGTGAGGAGAGGGCTTATGTTTGTGTTGGTAACTGGGTCTCAGTGTAAATGCTTGTGTGTTCATAAAACTGTTGCTGGCAATAAGTTGGTATCTGTGAAAAAAAGACAAACCTCAAAAAATCAATAAATGACACATGAGGGCTGGAGCAAATGGATTTTCTCACAGTAACTCCAAATAATTATGTTTCCTGTGCCCATGCGATGTGGACCACAACCGAGGCAAGAGGTAATCTTAGGACATGTAAAGTGTATAATAACAAAATAAACACGTCATCCCTTATGAACTGTGAGCTGCTGTGACCTATGGACTCTCAAATGTTGACCTTTACTCAGAGCTCCCATAAAGCCAATCAGTGTCGTTCTCTAGAGGCTATAACGAGATGCCAAAATGCATCAAACCTCAGTGTTAAGACTGTTAAAACACTTCACCTTTAGTTACTACATAGTACCCCTATTAAAGCAATCAGTGTCCAAAACTGTGACACAGTGTCAATATGCATCATCTCTCCTAACTTAGTTAAAGCTGTAAAGATGCTGCGCATGTGTGAGAGTTTATTCCTTCTTACCCTTGCTCCAGTCCGGAGATGATTCCTCCTACTGCTCCTTTATTCTTTCCCCGCATTAACATGTTCTTCATTTTCATCTCCGTGATGGAGGGGAGCAGGAGGGGAACAGCTATGCAGAACAAAGCCAGCTGTGGGGCCACTGGAGCACCAGAGGCTGACTTCTTTTTCTGCCCATGGAGGAACTTCAACCGACCTTGGAACTGCATCGTCTGGAACAGAAGAAAGAAAGGACCCATCCAAAGGCCTTGATTAACATATAATACAATTACACAAACATCTAGGCTTTATTTTTCTGCCCTTTTACAAAGGCTTAAAGGTATCGACTATTATAGCGACCATTTTTATGACCAATCAGTGGCAAAGAGGTTTCATATTGTTGGCTAGGCTTCTGCTAGGTTTCTCCTCTTTTAATCTGAGTCACTGAACTGAACCTCTCTAGCATATCTGCACTGTTAGTGCCACTTTCAGACAAATAGTATCGGTTCCTATAAAGTCAGTTGTGCCGACACTCCATCCATTAAAGCTAAATTCTAGTATTTTATTCGTAAGCTTCTTGGCTCAAATCAGGAGGCATCTGTGTCTGTGGCATGCACGCGTGTGGTCTAAACATTTAGCTAGCCAAGCTTGTTAATGTTAGCTAACTTAAACCTGGTAATCCTCCCCTCAAGTCCAGTTTAACCAAGTTTAATTAGATGTTGTGTGCAGTGTTCAACATCTTGATTAAACCTGTCAGCTAACTTTTATTAGCCAACACTGGTGGACATTTAATTTTTGGCTAACACTGTGAAGGAACTGACTGACTTTCCTGTCCATGAAATAAGGCTGCTACTGTGTCTGAAAACACTCGTAAGTGGTCCAAATGTTATGAAACCGAGACTTTCTTGCCAGATTATTTGTGAGCAGATTGAGCACTGTGCGTTACATTACAAATTGTTGTGTCCTAACTGTAATTATGTTGACTGATGAGGAAAGCCTCCAGTATTTCCTCACTACTTGGCTACCAGCATCTACAGTATATGTAGAAAATTGCCATCTAAAATTTCAGTTGTGCGGCCAGCTTCAGTGCAACCAGAGAGGACTTGGTGACAGTAAACTTGACTGACCCTGATGAAACAGTCCAAACCCATATTCTCGTTGCTCTGTCATCAGGGCCTTCAGCTTTTCCACTGCTGGTCTCCAAACCACTCTAGTCACAGCCATGAGGGATGAACCACGCTCATTCTCTGCCACTGTGGCCATGCACCCAATTACCTTATAATTCTGTCAATACACCTATAAATAACTGCACATACTACAATTATATGTGAAGTCTTGCGGTACCAAGGGGTTATAACACTTTTTATAGCCCTGGGTCTTCTTCCAGTGAGTGGGCAACCCCTGCTCAGTTTTTATATTTTGCGTAAACTTTAATGAACTGAAAACTGAAGTAACGTTGTTGGGGTTTTTTTTGAGTTTGAGTTGGTTCAATTACTCACCAAGAATCCAGAGGTGCTGTCCAAAAGGCATCGGACTCTGGCTATGAAACATCTGTTGAGAAAGCAGGAGAGCTCGGGAGGGATTTCCCCTGCCTCTGGAGAATGGAACAGGCTGCTCACTACAAAGTCTTCACCTGTAATTTAGTAAAGAAATATGGAGAGGGTATGAGTAATACAATTTGTACTGCAATTTGTGTAATAATACAGGAGAAAACAAGATACATATGTATAAATATGATGACGTTTTAAATGACAACAATATTTATAGTTAGCAAATGACTGGGACAGACTTCTTTTTTGTATTTTTATTACTTACCTGCTTTTATGAATAATACACTGCTGTTTAAAGCATTTATCTGTCAGCACTGTATCAATTTTAATTAATGAATCGTTAAAACTGTTAATAACGCGTGTAATGTGAGACAGACACCCTTAAGATCAGGCTTAAAACTTTCCTTTTTTGATAAAGCATATAGTTAGGGCTGGATCAGGTGACTCCGACTCCTCCCTCGGTTACGCTGCAATAGGCTCCTGGTGAGCTTCCCATGATGCACTGAGTGTTTCTTCTTCAGTCCCCTTTCTCACTAACTATGTGTTTATATGCCTCACTGCATTTAGTTATTAGTTATTATTAACATCTGGCTTATTTCCACAGCTCGTCTTTGACCCGTCTTTCTCCCCTCACCCCTAACCGGTCGCGGCAGATGGCCGACACTCCCTGAGCCTGTTTCTGCTGGAGGTTTCTTCCTGTTGAAAGGGAGTTTTTCCTTCCCACTTTTGCCACGGGGGGTCGTCTACTGATTGTTGGGGTTTTCCCTCTATATTTGTAGGGTCATTGCCTCAATTTGGCACTATATCAATAAATTTGAACTGAATTGAATTGAGATTGACAGAATAGATGGTTCCTCTCATCAACATCATACAGATCCAGGAATAGAAATCTCAGCAGCTGACCTCATCACCTCAAACCTATTGCATTGTTCGATAATAAGTTTTATATGTTCCCATACTAAATTCATAGTGATCTACCCACCAGTTCCTGCAGCTAGCTGGTTATCCTGGTGTGCCACCGTCCCTTGGTGCTGTGGAGGACACATGGCCCAGTGGAGCTGGCGTCTGAATTCCTGACGGTCGTCTATGTGGATGTAGTCAAACACATTCTGGTGCATCACGTCAGTCTGTGGGGAGGGGATTCGGACTGGTTTGGTTAATCAGTTTTAATTTTTAGTTTTACATCCGGTTTATGACTTTGGACGACCGAGTTTTGCTTCCATTCTTGTAGCTGACAGCTGTTCGCCGCTCTCAGGGCTAATTCTGCCCCACCATTCCTGGGGAGGTCAACGCTATACATACAAAGTCGATGAAAGTCAGACAACCAGAGCACTCGCACAGTTACATACACATGCAAAAAGGCAGGAGAATTGCCCCAGTACAGTAACAGTCTTAAGGGCAGCTGCGGGGCCAGCGAGGGCAGCTGTGTTTGTCAAACATCGCGTGACACCAGCTCCCGAACGGCAGTCCAGCCCAGCTTTCTCTCCACATCCACACAAACACACAGTAAGTCGGGTTCCAGCCCGCTCTCGTCATTCCTCCCTCTCTTTTCCAGCAATAGCTGTGTTTTCTGTCATTCCATGACAGATTCCTCACTAAAATGTTCAACCTTCTCCTCTTCCCTCTCCCCCTCCTCCCTGCCCTCGCTCCATAATTTCCACACTGGTGGCACGCGAGGCTTTTTGATCGCCTGCCTCTGCAAACACAATCTGTTCCCACTGTCTTCGGCGAGCGCTTCGTCCTGTGGTTGGGTTCCCTACCGGCAGTCAGGCAGACAGAAGGATCGAGTGACTATTGTTTATGTTTCTTGTAAAAAAACTCAGAGAGGAAAAGAAGAGGGGGAGGAAAAAGAGAATAAGTGATATTTTCAGTGACCTTCAAAGGCTAACTGCCCCTGTAACAAATTGGATCAAAGGCCAGTGGAGGTTTTCTGCTCTTCTGTGGCGCTTTCTTGTGGTGCTACTTAGCAAAGCCATGTCTTTTCTTCTTTATTTCCTGTGGTATATTATGGATAAGTGTCTTTCTGAATACAGCTGTGGGCTCAAAATTATGTTACATGCTGTCAAAGCCTGAGAGGCAAAGCATGTGGCTTAAAAGCAACTAACAGCTCCTTTGCAAGAGCTGAACATGTGGGAAAGTATAAAAGAATGTTTTCATGACAGTCTGAAAATACAACACGCGGATCTGTGAGTATTTAAAAAGACATATTTTTAATGTAGAAAAATGCAGAAAAGCTGTCAACTACCCGTTCACTCCTATTCATCTTCTCTGTGCTCAAAGTCACCTGCATTTTGCTTTTCACTTCTAAATATGGCCATTGCTGACTACAAAGAACACCTGATTTGAATTCTGAGCTCAACCTTGAGCTAATGCTGATGATACATTCGTTTATCACACCAAATGCTTTGCATGCTGCAGTGCTATGGCTCACAGCCAAACCTGTTGCGTGGTAATTCCTTTTCTTTTTCTTTCTTTAAAATAACTGTTTTGCATGTACGCAATTTAACGTACTGCGGTGACTTGATTCGCTTGATCCGCTGCCAAGTGTCTTACATACAGTCACTGCCGAGATCTGAGCACACAAAGGGCCAGTTGTGATTCTACTAGTGTGAGCTGGTAAATTTACATCTCTTTAATATTTAATCAGCAGCTAACATGTCGCAAAACGGTCCCGGTCCTTCCTAACATGGATACGATTTTTGCTAATTCTTCGAGCACTTGTTGCATATTGAATGAATGTTCGTTTTTTTTGTTTTTAACTGTGCTGGTCACATGTGTTTATGAAAGGCAACAACTGGATGGCAGCAACTCGACTCAACGCTGGGATGGTTTGCTGTGAAATTCAGCCAAGGCCATATTCAGGTTCTGTGCAATAATCAGCTCAAAACTGATATTTTTTTCCATTACTTTGGTTTGATTCCTGCAAAATTATTGACATTAACTTTTCGCTCGGGTCTTTTGCTGAGCACGTGACAAAGAAGCTGGCATAAAGTGAAACCTTAGCTAGCAAAATCTGATCATTTGAGTGGAAATTTATGGGAACAAAAAGCAGACGTTACAAAATAAAAAGCGTTGACTGAGCTGCTAAGACACACGTGCATACGCAAATGCCCCTTGGAGTTTTAATTTCCTTTGCCCGGTGGTTCCGTGCCAATCTGTAGACACACACACACCTATGCACATACTGTGGCAGGGCGTCTCAGACCACTTTGGGTTTCATGTCAATTTCATGGCCGCCCCTGTCTGCTTGTAAGCCAAGTGGGAGCGCTGCAGAAGAATGTCTATCGTGATGTGTGTGTATGTGTGTGTGAGAAAGAGAAGGCATGAGGGCAACAGGAGGAATTTTAACAGTGAAAAGCACTTTATTTATGGCTTTGAAGGAGAGCGATGATTTCAGCATCGAGGGACAGGCGAGCCCATGTTGACTTCATTCATAATTAATGACTGGCTGGGTATAGCCACTGGAAAGGAAAAGAGTTAAACCGTCGGTGACTTATCAGTGCCCGCACACACATAACAGACGCCCGCAGAGTGTATCTCAGGGTGAAACAGAGGTCTTCACCCTTCTGTGGTCCCCTTAGGTGTAACCTTCTGGGTTTACTTTGCCCTCTGAAAGAGTTATCAGGCAGCAGGAAGTCAGAATTAAAAGAAAGGCAGTTTACTCCGGATCCTAAACTGGATGGGATGGCAACAGAAGAATGGAGCGTACTAAAAACGGCAATTGTGACCTTGTTGAATAATGACAGCAATGAGGTCCTATGAGATTTGCAGATTCGTAACCTTAAGAGGGTTTGTGTGCTAAAACACTTTCATGGATGCTATCATCACAGATTACGAGGCCATGTGACCAGCTGAAGTACAAAAAAAGGCAACTCATACCTCATTTTTATATTTTATATATTCTGGCTCAAAGAGCACATTTCCTACTGATCTGTTGGAGTTTTGGCACACTGATTCCCCCATCTACAGAACAGTCAAGGCTTATCAGCTTATCTATGGATAATCATATGTACAGCGTGCATTTTGTTTATACATATTAAACATAGATTATACAATGTTTTCACTGTATTCGTGTTCAACTCACCTGATGAAATCCCAGATAGTCCACAATGGTCGAGGAAGCGTAAAAAACCATCCCGTCACTGCTCACCACCAAGGCAAAGCCTGTCAGAGACTACACACACACACACACACACACACACACACACACACACACAGAAATAGAGTCAGGGCAGCAAATAAACTCAAATGCAACAAACACACACATGACTTCTCTATTCTGTCTGTGAAAAGCGTAATACAGGTGTAAGAATATAGATACAATATAGTCAGATGTTCTAATTTGTGACCTAACCGTGGTTGAAGTTATTACTACGCCCTTAAAAAAAAGAATTTTTGCTTGTAAAACCTTTAAAAATGTAATATTCAACTTCTTTCCATAATTCTCAGAACAGCAGAAAAACTGTAAAAATGGAACAAAAGATAGAAAATTACAACACAAGAGAGGGAATGAAAAACAGATGGTTGTGTTACAGAGCGAGCCAAATAAAACTTAGTGATTTAGACTTTTTTCCTCATATTCTCTGGTTAAAACTGTATTTTTTAAAGCAGTTAGCTCGCAGATGACTTACGCGCCTATTTGCGCTCCTTTAAAGTTACACATTTCATAAGCTCGAAACTCTGATAATTAAGTCTGTTTGACTGGTACAGCTGCTTTGATTTGTCGTAGCAAACACACTGATTAAAAGCAGAGAAACTCCAGACACAAGCACACTTCTTCCCACTTTCCCTCTTTGCTCACACACCCATCCACACAAAGCTAGGGAGGGGGGATAACGTGTTTGGCCAGCGGAGGATACAGAGAAAGAAAATGTTAAAAAAATACACAAATGGTATCTGTTAAATGAGGAGAGATGGACAGATGGAGAGGAAAAGAAAGAGTGCGAGAGATATATTTAAAAAAGGCAGCACATGAAGGAGAAAAGCACAGGAAGGAGACGGGAAAGAGGCCTTCCAGTGTGCAGTGTGCGCACAGCTGTGATAGCGTGACAACTGCAAGGCTACTTGACTTGCGTGACTGCTGCTGCCAGAGTCTGTCACCTCTATTTTACTGCGAGACTATGCAGGTCTTTCCTGGTGTGTGTGTGTTTCTGTGTGTTTCTGTGTACTTTATAAGGTAGAAAGCCCAGCTGCCCCTCACTTCACCCCAGTGCCCACTCCTTCCACGTCTCTCTCTGTCACTTACACCCAGCAGTGATATGATTGCCTTAGCGAGAGGCGAATGCTCACTGTACGCGCCCTGTCCTTACCTGTCCCATAAACTCCTCTCTGTGACCTCTCTGTGAGCAGAGCAATTTGCAGCCCTAAAACCTATCGGCGTAAAAGCCAAGCTGCAGCAAAGCAAAGCCTCTGAGAAAAAAATATTGAGAGACTGACATGATGACATCTGAAAACAGTATATGAAAGCATGACGGCAGCAGTGGAGACTGGAAGATGGGTCAAGTCCTCTGTGGCATCGATGCAGATGATGTTTGACAAGTTTAACTGGCACATGTTCAAATGTCGGGGGGGTACACACAAACACACAAACACACATAGATGCACAACTTATTCCAGCATTCAAAACAGATGCAGATTAGTTGGAAATAAAGCACACTGATATAGCATCTTTCCTCTGATACTGGTCCTCACTCAGCATTTACTGTGCAACATTTGTACAAATTAAAAGTCTTTGTTACTCGGACCAGCATTTTTGGAGCCCTCTGGAGGGTAGCGATCAATCAACATTAGTGGATTAATATTTAATGTAGCTATGTAATGTATTTAGTACTTCAATAAACATCTGGGAACAACATGTCAATGCCAGATGTGATATATTTACGTCTAAATCCAACACCGCCAACGCAGTGTCGCGGCAGTTCATCAGATAGTCACAACATCTAATGTACTTATTCGGGTTTCTGGACATAATTACCCACCCTTATCTTCGTATCCCTGAAGACATTTTTTCACCTGTCTGGCCTCAGATGTCCTGATTCATGTCCGTGTACACAAAGTGAATATTTTCCGCTATTTGAAAGGGTGTCCCAGACGGGGTTGGCCTTGGATTGATCATTTGACCTCAGTTTGAGTCATGGAGTGACATTATTTATATTATAGAAAATGCTTAGCAGCACGTTAATATGAAACAATATTTTATTGATTATCATTAAAAACGACTTGTTGAGGGTGAGGATATAAAAACGAGTTGGTTACGTTTAGGCTGTGAAGCTGCGGTTAGGTTTAAAAAAAGATCCTGTTCTGGGTTAAAATACAACAGCTGAAAGCTCTCATTTCTTAGCAATAATAGTTTCAATGTCACGCTGACTGTCACAGAAAAATATGGCAATGCATGACCATGAACTTGAACAAACAGATTGCTTTTTCACGACTATTTCACATGTAGCTATAAAGGTCTCAAGCATGGATCACTTGAAGGTCTTTGGATCATGTGTCCAAAAACTCATGAAAACATCCTAAGCATGCTGGAAAGCTAGGTTGACTTTATGAGGTCGTACAAGGCCATAAAAAGGTCGACATTTACATGTAAGGTTCATTTAGATTTATTTAGCCCATTCACCTTTCCCCACTCCTCTTCCAAGTCAGTGAAATGCCAGTAAATTTCTGCAACCCAAATTCTTTACAAAAGGACTTTGACATTTTTATTCTTCTGGAACAAATAGGCCCCAGACCTGTGACCTGAAAGAGTATGCACAAGCAAAAAGTGTATGTTCTAAAGCTTTAATTAGCTTTTTTATGCCTGGCCCTGCAAATTTATTACAGATAAATACAGTGCATTTGTTTTTTACATGTGCAAAACTTCAAGAGAACATCCGTCATTTATGCTGGAATAGAGCAGCTTATTTACTACATTTCCAGTTAAAGAGCTGGAAGGAACATCAGAACTCTATTACTCAAAATAACAATTAGTGTTTGGTTTTATATAAATAAAACCAAACACTTTATATGAATCAGCTAAATACATCTAAACACTGCCTGTTCTTCTGTTGTTGTAAACTAGGCAACAAAAAAAAGTTCCAGAAACAGAAATACTGTTATGATATTGGCTGCACTGCTGCATGCTGTTTTTGTGTGTTTCTCCATTCACATTCCCCTCAGTTCCTTGCATACTAAAGCCTTTAGGTAATGGAAACAGGCACCTGCTGCTGGCCTGCTCCACCACATATCTGCAACCGCAACGCCCCCAGCTCTCATAACTGGCCCTGGGAGACTAAAAGCTTTGACTTACAAATCTTAAGAGGCCCTTTGCACGCAGAGCCCAAAATAAAATATATGTTCGCTGGACTTGGAAGCAGCAGGGGAGCTGTAGGGCGATTGGGGCGGGAGAAGGATGTTAGTGGCGGGCATGGCGTTATTGCCTTGTATCAATGTTTCAAAGGAGTTTCTTTAGTTTTCCTGCTGTCTTGTGTCGACAGTGAGAAATGAGGGGAGGTCGCAGCAACCGTGGTGATACACGCAATAGGGTTGCAGTAATATAGGATCGTGTTGTATTGACTGATAGTTAGAAAACTTTTGATAAGCCACTCAAACCAGAGTCACACATGACAAACATTTTTCATTAAAAGACTAAAAGAAGTGGTCTGTCCATCAGTCCACTGCGTTACTTCTGACTGAAATGTGTTAAAATGATATAAAGAGTTGCCTTTTAATGCGGGAAATGTAAAATATTAAAGACTTTGTTAGTATCTTTGCTTCCCCCTTGAACCTCTTTTGAGTCTAAACAGCCATTACAACACATTTTCGTCTATTAGCCTTGGTAAGTGTTGATAATTAAATATGAAAAAAAAAACATTGATGGAAATATGTTTAAATGTCCAAAAACACTGCTGCGGCACAACACGGCACAACATCGTCCTCATGTGAATTCAATTTATGCAATAAATCCTGCAACTTCCAGCACATTCGATCTGCATCAATCTCCAAAGAATTGCCTTCAGACATTTGCAAACACAGTTCATATGCAAACAGATAAACATGTACAAACACATATGCGTACAGACAAAGACATGCAATCTCCCCCAGACACACGCACACTCAAATATCCGTCTCTTCCCTCTCTTGGGATCTCGTCACCATAAGTAATGTGCAGTTTGCTATGAGGCTCCGCTGCAGGTTGAGTCACGCAACAGGAGGCAGCACATCACTACGGTCAATCTAACCTTTTGTTTCCTGTCCCACTGAGAAGCCTGACACGTTAACAGAAGCATCAGTGGATCGCTTCTGAACTCCGAATGAAGATCCGTGTAGTTTTTGTGCGATAATCTCTGTCATAATTTACTGCTTGACCGAGAGCCATGGGAATATTGCGTGGAGGCAATGACGACCTAATGCCCGAGCAATTCCCATGTAGCGTATGGCTACGTGCGTTTAAACGAGTCACACAAACGGCTTGTCACATGCTGTTTGTTACTCCACGCGAAATAAATGCCCTTGTAAAACGTGCTGTTAAAAACCTGATTAAAGGTCTCGGGTCAAGTGAGTGCTGAACAGACCTCCTATGTTCTCTGATAAATGTCGACAGGCTTGACGCCTTCTCGCTCTCTACTTCTCGCTTTCTCGTGCTTTCGGCCGGAGGTCCGACCACACACAGAAGCACACTTCCCTTGGATGCTCAAGCCGCCAACATGTGAGAGTCCCCACCTAATTCATCAGCTCTGACACTCCTGTCTCACCCATATGTCACGCAACAGCACAGCCCTGCAAAGAAGGCAGGACCAAAGGGCAAAGGGTGCGCACACACACACACACATGCAAACAAAATCCCCCCATGTCCCAAATTCCCAATCACTAATTCAGAAGCAAATGTATGCAAACCAGAACATGGCAGGAAAATAAGTGCCAACCAAAAGGTAAAATATGGCACATAGTGTGGTAACAGTTGATATTAATACAACTGCTTTGGTGCTGTATTTACAGATGTAGCATGTTAAATGTTCCACATGATCGCCACACATACAGACAACACCCATGTGGTTTCTTACTTCCAGGAGGAGGCTGCTTTCATTCACGCCTGTGCCCAGTGGAAGGCTCTCTTTCCTGGGTTCAGGGTTAGAGGATGCTGTGCTCATGATGTGCTTCCTGCTGGTCTTGTCTTGGCTCGCTGTAAAAAAAAGAAAAAAGAAAATGGGTAAACAGGTTGGCACGAAGGACTCGCTTTTGTTTAACACAATAATCCAAAAGCCACCGGTCGGTTTGAGAATGTTAAAAATGAGAACAGAAGAGGTGGAAAGAACATCCCCAAACAAAACGAGAAGATCACACACGCTGGATACAGCCCTGATTTAAATGTATCCTTATAGGGTTATGCGCTCATATGTGCTGTTGAAGGTCTGAATTCTTAACCTAATTCAATGCACATTCAGAATACAGAGCATATAACAAGGCCTGTGTCAAAACAGGAAACAGTTGACTTTAATAACAATAATAATTCTGTTTTCTCTGATGTGGCAGCGAGAGAACACGACCAGCACTCAGACATGTGGCCGACACATTAACCGTATCGGTCTCCCTTTCTTAGGCGCTGCACTAATGCCAGGTATTACTCTGCGTGGTTGGCTGGTCTAACAAGACAAAACACTGGAAGATTTCATGACTTTAGAGGATTTCTTACACACGATACAGCCACATGCACATGCAAATCTCACTGGGCTACAGAAAGCCAGGCCAAAAAAAATTGAATGCTTTAGCGACATTTGAATGGGAAGTGGTTAACCAGACATAGAGCATTCACTCTCTGCTTTTACTGAACTGTGCAACAGGTTCTCAGTCAACAATAACAAATATACTCAGCTGCTAAAAGAAGAACATCTTGTCTAAGCAACCCCCTGAATAAAGCATCATAGTTTTTTTTAAGTTGACTTATGCAGTTGCAGTTGTGCAGTTTTATACATTAAAGCTGATTCGTACTACATCACGAGAATAACACAATTACATTTTGTACTATTTCACATGTTATAACATAGAGGCACAATATGACAAAGTTCTTTGTGCACGAAAGTGTCGTTGACGAATAAGTAAAAGCCTTCTGGTTCCAGTGACTAACTAAGCCTGACCTCTGGCCTCTCTGTGGCTCACAAAGAGGGCTCCTACAGGCCGACAATGTAATGAGCGGCCATTCAAATCTCTCGCTACACTGTCTCGTAACTAAGCACAGTTTTAACCTGGGTCTTCAAAGGTGAAATATGCCACCTGCATGCTTAAGCCCATGCAATTAGCTTACATGACTGTGGCATGTCGATTCGTCACATGTGCACACGTGATTACGTATGCATTGCATGTCGAAGGCATGTTTGCGTGTTTCTCTCACAGGCGTGCTGTCAGGGAGCATGCAGCTCACTCCGAGTGACCGGCCCTTCACTCCATCATTCATTGTAGCAGGCACGGATTAGTCATGCGACATGCACACACACACACACACACACACACACACACACACACACACACACACACTGAGAGCATATAAATCTATACATCTACTGATGCTTCATATAGCTCCCACCCCCACTGAGTAACCTCATTACAGCTTCCATCCTCCCCCCTCCACCCCATTCGCACTCCTTCAACTGCCCTCCTCCTCTCTCCACCCCGCCTTTGTTTCAGTCCATCGACGACTGATTTCACTGATTTTGTTGGAACAGTTGGCGTTCTCTTGAATCCACACTGAAGCTTGCAAACCCTTTTTTTCTGCACCCGTACAGTTTGTCAGGATGAATTTCTTTCACGTGCAATAATTCATTCCCCCAGTTGGAAAAGTAGGTTTATTCAAGCTGTACGAGGAAATAAATGCCCTAACGTGTGCAAGCGCAAGAGCTTTGACAGACAGCTACATTTTTAAAAAGCCAGTAATAATGTTAAGTATTTTGTCATCACCTCTGCAGGTGCAAATGCATGCAAACAAACAGACTCAGACAGTCACACACGCGAACACACACAAAACCCATTCTGTCCAATCACCGCAACATCATCCAACCAGTGGAAACCACTGCAGAGGGAAATGAATCTAATAACCGTCTTTATTTTCCTCCTTCAACGCCTGGTGCATTTTTTTGTTTTCTCTCTTACGGCAGCTTTTTGGAGAGGATGCAGCGTCAGGAAAGACAAACATACGGGATGATTAATTATCGGCACCGGTACTTCCTCTGCCAACAATACGGGCTTTATTCATCGCCGCTCATGTCTTCGGGTTTGCTTTTCTTTGCCTCTATTTTCTCCCTCTCTGGTCGAAAAAGGAAAACAGAGTAGGTAATGGTGAGGCGTTTATGTGCTCCGCGTGAGGACAGGGTGTTAAGTAAAAAGTGACAAGTAGCGGGATGTAGATGGTGCCAAAGGGTGAGGCTGAAAGTGTTTAGCTCCTTTTTAGTCAGCACCGTCTGTCTTTCCACTTTCACTGAGAATCTCAGGACCACCCGCCAAACACCGAGCATAACACAGCATGACTTCATTTTCACAGTCTAAGGCACAATTGTCTCAGCACTTCAATCACCAAACAGAACTTCTGGGATGACTGACGAGAGGAGCTTATAGTGATATTAGATGCGTTGATTTGTCGTAATAAACTAACATTATGAGAAGCGTTGTAATTCAGAGGGAGCCAAAGGACTTTCACAAAACTTTGAACAACCTGCTGGATGCCGCCTGTAAGCAGAGCAGAGCCCTGTGTGGAGCAGGTATTAACTTAAACGGCCTCTAGGGGGTGAGGTGAGATTTGGCACTGTAGCAGACGGATGTGTAGAGCACAGGCTCGGTTTGTTTGTCTGTTTTCAACTGCTTCTCCTCTAAAGCCACTTCCTCCTGTAACACCACCAAGAACACCTTAAAAAAAACAAAAACAAAAGAAAAAGAGAGAGAAAACAGAAAAGAGATAAAAGAAGAGGCTGCATCCAATAAGAAGAAAAGACAGGGAGAGACAGTTGTTTCAGCAGAGGGGTGTAACATTTCTGAGGGCTTGACATGCTTTTTTTTTTTTTAATAATGGGGATAAAAGACAAAAAAATAGTTACAAATTGATGCCAAATGCTGAATCAAAGATGTCACGACATTATGCTTAAAATTAATGCTGCAGAAGAGTTTTTATGACTATGCAAATTTATGAATTGCTTCAAGTCATGCACAAGGGTTGGTCTACTTTTAACATCATGTTCCTAAACAGAGCAATGCGCAGTGAGGCGCGAGTAAGTGTTTTTACACGGCTCATAGACACGAAACCAGCAGGCATCCTGCTCCAAGCTGAGTCAATAAGGTGGTTATAGCTGCTGTTTCTGTAGTTTTTCACTATGTTACATTTAAAGTAAATGTTAGTAGAAGTTGGTCCAGTCAATTTTAGCGTTACGTTAAAGCTGTTGTAGGTAACAATATACACAACTGTTAAAATTAGCTTGACTAACTATCTACAGCAGATGAACAGTATCTGAGAGTCTATAAAAATCCAGCAAAGATCTGACACAAGACATAAGATGTGTATCTGGCCCTTCAACCGGTTACTGAAGCCTCATTAAAAAGGGTTTCAGTGGAGGGGCGGATGTCAAGAAGCCATTCTTAATGACAGAAAACAGGGAGAATACACAATAGCTGGACTGAAAACCAGTAGCAACAGATCTGATGGGAGTGATGAATTCGTGGTTTTAATCTCTGTTTCAAACTGTCATCAATATATACGCAGGAAGTCGGGAGAGATGTACAACAGTGAGTTTTTTCAGCCATCTGCAAAGCACGGCAGAGGTGCTGTCATGATTTGGGCCTGCATTTCAGCCACAGGTGTTTGAGATCTTTTGAGACCACTGTGCCACGCCATCTGGAGAGCATGTGATCTGCAACAGTTTCATTTTTCAGTATGACAATGATCCGAAACACACCGTCAATGCAGCAAAAGCATACCAGGATAGTGAAACACTATCACGCACAAGGCCTCCCAAAAGCTTGGAGCTCAACATTATTGAAGCAGTGTGGGATCATCTTGAGAGAGAACAGAACAAAAAGCAGTCAAGGTCCAAAGAAGAAGAAGCCTGGAGAACTATTCCTGAAGACTACTTTACATTAAAAAAGTTACAAGAAAGCTAAGAGGGTTCAGATTGTGTTGAAGAATAAATGTGGTCGTACCAAATATTGACTTTATAGCCAGTATTTTTGCACATTTCACTAAATCACTGCACCTAGCAAAGTATTAAACGAGAGATACTAAAAATATTTATTCATTATTTATAATGAATGAAAAAAAAAAAACCCAAGAAACTCCCAGCAAACATCACTGAAAAGTCATCATCTATCAGGTAAAATCTCATTTCTGGTGAATGGCAGGGACACCTACACCCATTCGTCTCTGTGCGCCCCTCATTGGAGTAGCAGGGGTGCCATCTTTTGGCAGCTGATCCACGGCTGTGCCAAGAAGAGCTCCAGACATGAACATGGGAGCGCAGTACAGCACAGCAGTTCTTCCCCTCCCACAAGGCTTGCGTGAGTAGAGAAAACTATGTGTGTGTGTGTTTTCATATGTGTGTGTGGAGGCTGGGTTGGCTCACTGCCACCTCCTTTGCCTATTCCCGCCCCCTTCCCTTAGCACTCTTTTCTCTCTCTCTCTCTCTCTCACTGCCGGCACAGGAAATCCACAGCAGAGAGAGCAATACTAACAGAGAGAGAGAGGCAGCGCGAGAGAGAGAGAGAGGAGCTGGCTGATCAAGGGCTGGTTGTCACGCGAGCGAGCCGTCTGTCAATCTCCCCCCCTTCCTCCTGACAGACTGCTGGCGGACAGCCAAGGCCTTGCGTGCAAGCCGACGAGCCACATTAGCCCATAAAGAATTTCATAATAGCAACAGCTGTTAAATATTGATGACTGCTGGCAAGCGCTCAATGGCGCTCTGCAAAAAGGTTAAGCCTCCTCTGTAATGGAAGCTAATACTTCATTATGCCAGAGATCAAATGTCCGGATCTCGCCTCGTCTAAATTTGAACTTTTTTTTTTCTCTTGTTTTTGCAATAAAAAAAAAGAAAAAAAAACACAAAAAAGGATTTACAGCTAGAAACGTTTTGGGGCATTTCCCTGCTGTTCTAAAGACAAACAGAAGCAGACTTTTCCACTGCTTTTAACTGCAGCAGATGAGGAAACATA